TGGCTGGAGAATTCTGGGAGTTGAAGTCCACTCATCTTCAAGTGGCCAAGTTTGGACAACACTGTCCTAGTCTTTCAAGATGAATTCCTGTTATGCCACCTAGTGGAGACATTGTGCATGACAAGCAGAGCGCATTCTCTTGGCTGTTTGCAAAAGGTTTCGTTTGGGGAAACGAGGAAATTCGCACTTCTGCGCTTAGGAAAGATTCCTTTTCTCCTTCTCCTAAGTCTGCTGTTAGCCCACTTCTCAATCTCCTACAGTGGCACCACCATCCGGGGTTCGGTTCCTCTTCCTGGGAATTGTGATGTGAGGGACACGCACTCATTTTACATAGATTTAAAATTCCCAGTTTACATTATGTTACAACCCGGAAGAGCATTTTTATAAAAGGATGTATCGTTGGTATAGGATTCCAGAAAAATTGTCTGGAATGTATAAAGGTACTTCAGATTTATGTTGGAAACGTGGACACCAGGAAGAGTCCTTTTATCATGCCCAGTGGACTTGTAAAAAAGCCAGACATTTCCGGGTTCAGATACATATAATGATACAAAGCACTTTAAAGATCAGCATTCAGTTGGAACCAGAACGTTTCTTGCCAAGCTTAATGGACAGGCAATTAGAAAAGAGCCATGGAAGATGATTGTTATATATGATTACTGCTGCAAGACAGTAATATGCGCCAAATGGAAAGACTCTGAAATACCCATAATGGAGAAATGGTTGGTGAAGACGACAGAATTCGCAGAGATGGCAAAGTTAACTTGTTTAATGAGAGAAAGATCAACAACTACATTTGTCAGTGACTGAAAACCCCTGACGGACTTTTTGCTGAAAAAAGAGAAAAATTAACTTATGATTTATGGGTTTGAAGATTAGAAAGGGTATAAATGTTTCTACAAGCGCTGTCAAGAAGATCTGAAGCTGCTTCTGTATCATCTCTCTCCCTCCTTCCCTCCCTTCCTTCCTCTCTTTCTCTCTCTCTCTTCTTTTTTCACTATTTACTGGCTAGTTGGGGAATTCTTGGTGGTGAAGTCCCACCGCCCTAAAGTAGCCAAGGGTGAGAAAACCC